AAGTAATGAATTTAAATAGTATATAACATGAATAGAGTAAAGTAAAAGTTGAAAAATAATTATCTTTTATTATATAATTAAGATAAAAAAATCCTATAAATTAGACAAAGTATGAAGTGTATAAAGCATATAAAGGATATAAAGGATAAAAATCAATAATAAATAAAAGGATCTTGATGCCCCCATCAGTGTGAAAGGTTTGCTTTCAGTCACCCAAAGTGCATCCTAACCCTTTTTTTAAAAAAAGTTATGTGTCCATTACCTATTTTCCCAAAAAAAAAAAGAAAAAAAAAAGAAGATTAGTATTGTCCTATCGCTTTCTCCTTTGGTAGCAAATATACGTTTCTGGCGACCGTGGTGATGACATGGCGATCTTTCCACCCATTTGATTGTCTTGATTGACAGACACGTTGCTTGATTTTCTCCTCCCAAAAGCAAACGTTTCCTTTTATTTATTTTCTGAAAAACTTGTTTGTGAAGTTTGAATTTCAAACAACAGAATCACAGTCATACTAGTTTCATTTCATATACTCAAAAAAGTAAAGGTTGATGGCCATGGAGGAGGCTAGAAAGGAACTGGGTGTTGATCAAAAGAAGGAAGAAGAGAAATGGGTAACCCACTATTCATCCAAGCATCAAATTCTCTTAGTGGGCGAAGGAGATTTCTCTTTTTCTTTGAGTTTGGCCTCTTCTTTTGGCTCTGCCTCTAACATTTGTGCTACTTCTCGCGACTCAAAAGGTACAAAGAGATACACCCAAATTGATAATTTCTTTCATAATTGTATGTATTCATGTTTGATGTTTGTCAAAGTAAGGATTTTTGGATGGAATGATCACGCAAGTTCGATGCTTTTCTTCTATTGGTTAACACAATCAATAGGTTTTTGTCATGCCTTTTTTTTTTTTTTTTTTGTAATTTTGGGAGTTTGTTTTATAATGCATGAAAAGGACCCATCATTAATTTGTGATGATGGGGCTTTTGCTCTTTTAGTTTGTGTATTGGACTTGCTATTTGGCTAATCAGTTGCTAACAAGGTTGGTGATATGCATGTGTTTTTGTTCCTCTTTAATAATTATCCAATAATTTCATTCAACTGTGTTAAACCCCGAATGCCTTATTGCTATGTGTCCCTTTGATTGCATCCCTCAAAACAATGGTCAGAATGCTATCAGGTAAAACCATGGTTCATCTAGTAGTATATTTTTGTCTATATTGTCCTTCTTAATTAGTTGGTGTTAATGCTCCGGTTACATTAATGAATCTGCTGATCCTGAGTTTGTTTTGTTTTCTACTTGTTTGTATATGGTATGTCTTCTGATTGAATAGATGATGTCATCAACAACTACAAGAATGGCAAGTGGAATTTGGAAAATTTGAAGAAGCTGGGAGCATCCATTTTGCACGGAGTAGATGCAACCAAAATGAAGAAACTTGTTGACTTAAAAAAGCGCAAGTTCGATCGAATTATCTTCAACTTCCCTCATTCAGGCTTCCATGGAAAGGAGAGTGACGACCGGGTGATTCAGTAAGTTCTCTAGTTCATGATGTGTGTATAATTTATTATCATCCTGGTTATCATTACTGTCCTATGTTGATGATACTGCAGGAATCATAAGACTCTTCTGAGTAGATTCTTCAGCAATGCACGTGGAATGCTTCAAGTCAAAGGTGAAATACATGTGAACCACAAAACCACACCCCCTTTTTGTAATTGGAATCTTGAGGAACTGGCTTTTGAAAATTATCTGAAGCTGATTGTTAGGGTTGAGTTCAAAATAGGAGATTACCCTGGTTATAACAATAAGAGAGGGGCTGGTCCAAAATGTGATGAACCCTTTCCTTTGGATTTTTGCGATACCTACAAATTTGGATTTTTGGATAGAGCTGAGAACATGTCTCACCAATTTCAGGACTCCCCAGCTCAAATACAGCTGCAGCCAAACATATCTGCTTTCAATTATAGTCATAGAAAATGCATTGCAGCTGTGAATCCCTTTCCACCCCAACCACAATTGCCTTCTACAGTGGATGCCATGAATGATTGCTCTTGGAATTTTAACACATGCTCAAATGCTGCATTTGGAAGAGATATCAATAATCCAAGACAAGCAGAGCTGCCGTGCACTTTATCTTATTTCAGTTTGTCACCAAGAAGTCACATTCGATGTCATGGGGGGCTGCTTCCTACCATCAATGCCGGACCTAGAAGCCATATCAATTATCCAAACCAAGCGGGGTTGCTGCCTAGATATCACACTACCAATGTGAACGACATTCAACCCCGTTTGGAGTTGACTTCTACCATCTGTGCTGGAAGAGATACTGAATATCGAAGCCAAGCACGGCCACAACATACTTTTCCTAATTTCAGTTGGCCACATAGAGATTGCATTACTGACATGAATCACATACGACCTCATGTGGGGTTGCCTTCTACCATCAAGCCTGGGAATGATCACTCTTGGGACTTTGGTGGCAACTTTAATGGTCCAGTTGAAACATATCCAAGGCCTTCTTGTAACGTGCAGTGTTCTGCTGTTGAAAGATGGGGGTATAATTTTGATGTGCCATACTCTTTACCTGAGGGAGCAAAGCATGGCTTCGGAAGACGGATGGTGGAAGTGCAAAAAAGAACCTCCGGAGAAGACTTGTATTTAAAGCATGAGAACCACATGAACTTCTCGAGTTTAAAGCGGCGAAGGGTGCAGCCAGGGGTGCTGCAACTCTAATCTACTTGCTAAATGCTGGTGAGACTTGGGAATTGTGGTAATGATATTGGAATCTAAGAGGATGTATATAGATTTGTGTTCGCCAACACTTTATTGATGTTTTGAGTTATGAAGCTAGCTATGCATTAGTGCGTATAGCGTCAACTATGCAAGGACTGTTCCTTGCATAGACTGAGAATCTCTTTTGGAAACTATATTTTGGATAAAATAGTTAGGTTAAAACCCCATTTGGTCCTTGAACTATTGTATGGACCTTAGATTTGGTCCCTAAACTTAAAAAATCCATGATTTAGTCCTTACTATTATCTTTTTTACCCTAATTTGGTCCTTCCGTTAAATATCAACTTACGTGTCCCGTTACTTAATGGGAATAGGATGACATGAAAAAGCATTTTGACACGTAGGATGTACAATGTGGCAAAAAAATGAGATGACAAGAAAAAAAACCTTAAAAAATTTATTTTTCCTTTCTTTTTCTTCATTTGTTTTTCCTTTTTCCCTTTCTTCTTCCTTTCCCTTTCACCTTCTGCAAACCCTAACTCTTAATATTAAATTCGAGGATAACACAACGAATCAACAGATTGAACTCAATAGATCTTTTGACCCAATGGTTGTTGGGTTCGAAATGGAACTCAGAGCCTCACTTGCAGGAACCCAACGACTGCTCAAATCTAGCAACTGGACCCAATAGCTACTGGGTTTGAAATGAAACCCACCATCAGTTGGGTTTGATTTTGAATCCAGCACCTACAAAAACCTAGCAGCTGCTAAGTTTGAAATTGAACCCAACAGTTGCTAGGTTCGAAATCGAACCCAGCACCTGCAGGAACCCAACGACTGCCTTGCCTTGCCTTCTTCATCTTCATCAATCAATTTTTTATTATAATCAAACAACAAAATCAAAAAAACAAAAGCAGAAATTTTTTTTTTTTTTAATTTTTAGCACTTAGGTTCGGTAGAACCTAAGCGTTGGGTTCGAAAGGAACCCAAGCATGTTGGGTTTGTAGGAACCCAGACGCGAACCCAGCACGCTTGGGTTCCATGCGAACCCAGGCATTGGGTTTGCAAGGAACCAAACCCAAGCGTGTTAGGTTCGAAGGAACCCAGGCCTGCTGGGTTCCAAGGGGAAGAGAAGGGAAAGGGGAAGGAGAAAGAGAAAGGGAAAGGGAAGGAAAAAGAAAAAAAAGAAAAAAGAAAAAATTTGTTAAGTTTTTTTAAGTTTTATTTTTCATATTGTTATTATTTTTATATTATTATTTTTTTGCCACGTGTATTAATTTTATGCCACGTGTTAAATTTTGCCATGTCATCCTATTACAGTGAATTAACAACATAGTTAATGAGATTTTTAAGGGAAGGACTAAATTGGGGTTAAAATGATAAATAGTAAGGACCAAATCAAGGATTTTTTAAGTTTAAGAACCAAATCAAGAGTCCGTACAATAGTTCAAGGATCAAAATGGAGTTTTAACCAAATAGTTACCACTTCTTTATATCTTGTCATTGTTCTCTCTAGCTCATTTTCCTACTGCGGCATGGTGAAGGGTGGAAAACAAGATTGATTTATTGTTATTATTATTATTATTATTATATGGAGATGAGAAGGAAAGAGCAGAGAAGAATATTAAGCGTTTTTCTGGAAGGCCTTGTAATCTGACTTGGTCTGCAGAAACGTGTTCCATATTACTACATTAGTTGATCAACTGCTGTAGGGTCAACTCATGGCCTCTGCAATCAAAATAGTCGTCTCAGTATGAATGCTATAAAAACCACTAAGTCCCGTCTGTTTGTATTATCTTTGTTCTCTGCTCGAAAACTCAGTTCATTAAGCCGCACCCTCTGCATACTACAGATCATACATACAACATGAAGGTAAGGCCTGTCTTTTCTTTTCCTTTCTTTTTAAGTTTTCAGTAATTTTGAATCAAAGTGCATATGTATTCATGAATTGTTTGTTAAATTATTACTGGTGCAGCAAAAGATAGTCATCAAAGTGCAAATGAGCTGTGAAAAATGCAGAACCAAGGCGAAGAAGATTGCCGCTGAAGCAGATGGTTAGTAATACCACCACCACGTTAACTACCAGGAAGACTGGATTTTCCTTCCCTTCTAAAATCTAATCTCTTTGTTTCCTTCCTGAAATCCTGACTGACTGACAGGTGTGAACTCATTGGCTATAGAAGGTCCAGACAGAGATCAAGTTGTTGTGACCGGAGATGGAGTTGATTCAGCAAATCTGACCCGTACACTCAGGAAAAAGGTTGGATTCGCCGACATACTTAGTGTGCAAAAAGTGGAAGACAAGGTGGAAGCCAAAGTGGAAGCAAAAACTGAACCTCCAATTCCATCAAGTTACGGTCAATATTTCCAGTACACTACTCCCACATTCCACGAAGTGGTCTATGATCCTACCCCAAGTATCTGTTCCATCTTGTAATAAGCATATGAGTAATTAAAAATATGTGTTTGCTCTTGTTGGAAATACAGGATTCCATGTCTTCACTCTGGATTATTAGCGGTTTGGTTAATAAATGTACTCTTACCCCAATAGATGATTCAATGATTAAGAGTTTAAAATTTGAAGTTAAAGATATCAAATTTGTAACTTAACTTCAAATTTGTACTTTAAGTTAAATGATGAGAAATTTACAAAAATGAGAAAATTATTATTTTTTGTATAATTTATTATTATCAAATATACAAAAATATATATATTACTGTTTAATCAAACCCATGAATAACAAAATGATCTTTTTGTTGTTTACCATTTGAATTTTAACATAACAATAGAAGAAATTTCCATCCTGAAAGAAATTGCAGGCTCCACAACACTTGATACACCTTTCCACGGATTCACATCAAATAGGAAGACCGAAGACACTTTTCCTGCATAAAAAAAAAGGAAGACACACTTTTCCATGGATTCACATCAAATAGGAAGACTAGTCAAACAAAAAGTAAGCATAGTCGGTCCGCCTACCTATTCTTAGTCTTAAGTACCAAGTTGCCGCATTGACCGGGGTAATATGTGATTTTTTTTTTTTTTTGAACAGATTTTACGAGGGCTGGATTCGAACCCCAGCCTGGGGAAGAGGGAATGCATCGTGGGTGGCTTTGGTCCGAAGGGCTCGGTGCGGGGTAATATGTGATGGTAATATTATCTAATATAGCTTTCATTTATTCTAAAGTACAAGTTGCCGCATTGACTGGGGGTAATATATGATGGAAAAATTGCATAATATGGTTTTCATTTATTCTTAAGTACAAGTTGCCACATTGACTGGGTTAGTTATACAGTTAGTTCATCACTTTAGTAAATTTGAAGATTTTACTATCTCATTTTATATTATAGAATTTTTAATTTTTAAATTTAAAAATTTAAAAATTTTATCTCCTAAATTAATAGAATCCATTAACTTTTTATTAAAGTGAGAATAAAATATTTACAAGATCAATTTTCAAAAAATAAAAATATAACAATTTAGTCCTAAAAGTTTAAAAATTAAAAAAATAGTAAATTAAAAATAATTAATGGATGTATTTGTCACGTACATGAGAATAATATTAGATATTTACAATAAAATCGAGTGATTAACTCAATTTAAAGAAAAAAAATTTGACTGAGACTAAAAAAAATTTCTTAACTATATTATTTTAATCTCTTAGAATTTTTATCTTAACTTAATTAAGAAATTTTTTTTTTTTAATTTTAGTCACAATTCTTTCTTCAAATTGAGCTAATCACTTGACTCATTATAAATATCTAATAATATTCTAGTATACATGGAAAAGTCATATATTAATTCTTTTTAATTTATTAATTTTTTCAAAGTTTAAATTTTTAGAATTAAATTGTTGCATTTTTTATTTTTGAGGATTGATTCTATAAATATTCTATTCTTAATTAAGGAGCTAAAATCTTTTAATCTTTAAATTTAAGGACTAAAAACTTCACAATATAAGATAAAATGTTAAAACTTTTAAATTTAATAAAGTAAGAAGCTACATATATGGTTTAGCCCATTAACTGGGGGTAATATATGATGGAAAAACTATATGGTATAGTTTTCATATATATATATATGTAGTTGACATGGCATCTCTCTGAATTGTTTTATAATAAAGGAAGACGCTGTTGGGCTGGCAAATTGATTATGGCTAATATTGTTATAATTTTTTTTATAATTTAAATTATATTAAATTATATCATTTAAATTATTAAACGGAAGAACCCTAATATGAAGAGTTTATTCTCAATGAATAATTTTTTTTAATCCGAAACAAGCACTCCAATTATATATCAGATTTTTTCAAGAAATTCTTAATTAATTCCCACTACCATTTTTCTTCTAAAAAACAATTCCCACTTCTACTTTTCAACACTCATCTGCCATAAGTCACAGTCAAGACAATCGGAAATTTCTCCTTAAATTTCTATAATGGAAACACAGGAAAATTCTTCATGAATGGAATTATGGGATGGAACTCATTCAAAGTTTGATGTGTGTATTTACTTCATCAACAAGCCGGATGGAAAATTCTAGTCAATTTAATCAACCTACTTTCTTTTCATCAACTTCCACCAAATCATACAATCATTTGCGTCCGCAGCAAGGAGAATTGTCTATGTACACTTGATACTATAATAATACAGTAAAAGTGTAAAACTATTTACACTTAAATAACACTTGAGCAATTCAACTATGCGTTTCCCGCATATTTACATCACAATTCACATACATTACCATTTGACTCAATGGGTTCAAAATCATTAGCAGCAATTACTTTCGAAACAGAGGCTTCATACTTTGAGCGCCCATTGTTTCGGGCCTAATACCACGACGAAGCCATTTTTTTTCAAACATTTGATAACAACTTAGATAAAAAGGAATATTTACTCCTTTTTTTAAATTTCTTTTCATTCAATTTAAAAATTAAACATGAGATCTTCAATTTAAAATTTTAATTTTCTAACCAATTGAGTTACTCTAATGTTGTTCTAATTACTTTTTTCTTTATTTTTGATG